ATCAGAAAGGTTTTCCCTAACAATCCTATATAACATATCAATCTTCAACACTCTGTCTCCCTTCTCTCCATAGCACTCATCAAAGTCTGATATATTATATGTGAAAGGGTTAATAACATCTTAAAGGGTAAAGGCAAAAGCTTGAAAAAGGTGGAAACTATAAAAAATGGATTGCTTGCATGACCTTTGCTCAGCATTTTGTTAGGTACAAATTTGATCTTTGCTCAGCCTTCTGTTAAGTATGGCTTATCTGGATTATCCATAAGATAATGAATCACTCAGCAGATGCAGGACGAGATACCAGGCCAGTCCAGCTACAAAGTGGATAACGGGCCATGCAGAGTAGTGAGCAGGAACTACCAGAAGCTAGAAGCAGAGTATATCACCTACATCCCAACTGTTGTTTGAGGCTGACTCCTTTTTCAGGCTCAGCCCACCTACTCCCAAGCACATGCAATAAAATTGTTTTGCTCTACACTGGCCTTGCGTTGTGGATATGATCTCCCACTGGCTCAGACCTTCTAATATGTTTATTGTCTTCCTCTCACCCCCAACAGCCAACCAGAATCTGAACTCCATACAGTGGAACCTCGGTTCTTGAACTTCATGTGTTCCAGGAGGCTCTTTGAGAAGCTATTTGTTCAAAAACCAAATAGTTTTTTTCCCATTAGAAATTATGTAAATTAAACTCATTAATTCCAGACCTCTAAATGATTCAATTTTAACCTTTCTTATATACAGTACATGTCTAATGTACTGTTTAATCTATAAACAGTCACTGTTTTCACTCATTCCAGGGTGTCTTTCAGGAAGTCAGTATGTAGCATTTTTGCTTTTTTCATATTACTGCCTCCTAAATGCTGTCCTGGGCTAACTGCTTTTTGTTTATCCAAATCAACAACAGTTTTTCTACCTCTTCAATTGCCTGTGATCATTGTTTCTTTCACACTCTTACCAACGTTAGCATTTTTTTTTATCCTCACCCGAGGACATTTTTGTTGTTGTTGTTGTTCAGATAGAGTGGGAGGAAGAGAGAGGGAGAGAGAGCAGGCGAGAAACATCGAAATGAAAGGGACACATCGAATGGCTACCCCCAAGACCCAACCAGGGCCGAGGACAAAGTGCACCCGAGCTATGTGCCCTTAGGGGGAACCAAACCCTGGTGTCTCTGGACCACAGGAGGACGCTCTAACCGCTGAGCCAAACCAGCTAGGGCAAACATTAGCATTCTTAATGGTCTCTTTATGTTTTAAATTTGTGCTAAGTGTCCATTTCACCAGCAACAAAAGAGAAAAACAAATGTTCACAGCACAATTTCCCGAGATTTTAACAAGCTAGGTTTATCAGTAAACTGAGTCCTTTGTTTGTGGCCTGAGAGATGCTTTTTGTCATGCTGATGTATCAGCATAAAAGTGTTGTGAGGTCAAGAACCCAAAGCTTGGTTCAACAACAGAGACATTAATTCCATGAGCAACTTGGTTGAGAACCAAATTGTTGGAAATGGGAGATGTTCAAGAACCAAGGTTTGACTATACAAACAGAACTTCTGTATTATTCCTGCTATATTCACAGGAATATAATAGGTACATAATAGGCACTTGAATGAATGAGTGTTTTCAGCTTCCATCACCATGATCTCCAGCCCTACCTAGTTAGTTATTAATTCCAAGATTTGGCCATATACTTTCAGATTTCTGAGCCCTTTAACATGTTGCCCATTTTTGCTTAGAACAGCCTTCCTGAGAAAGTGATATGTACCTCTCAAGATCCACATTAAATGTCTTCTGTTTTGACCTGACCAGTTTGACTCAGTGGTTAGAGCATTGGCCCACAGACCAGAGAGTCCTGGGTTCGGTTCCCGCTAAGGGCACGTACCTCGGTTGCAGTTTGTCCCCGGCCTCGAATGGGGTCATGTGGGTGGCAGCCACTCGATGTGTATCCCTCAAATTGATGTTTCTTGCGCTGGCCAGTTTTGTTCAGTGGGTAGAGCGTCGGTTGGCGGACCAGAGGGACCCAGGTTCAGTTCCTGCTAAGGGCACATGCCTCGGTTGCAGTTTGTCTCCGGCCCTGGTTGGGGTTGTGTGGGTGGCGACCAGTCAATGTGTCTCTCTCCCATCGATGTTTGTCTCTCTCTCTCTTCCTCCCTTTCTCCCTTCTGCTCTATCTGAAGATAAATGCAAAAATGTCCTCGGGTGAGGATAAAAAAACTTTTTTTTTGATGTTTCTCTCTCTCTTCCTCCCTCTCTCCCTCCTACTCTGTCTGAAGATAAATGTAAAAATGTCCTCCAGTGAGGATAAAAAAAAGAAATGTCTTCTGTTTTGTACAGCCTTCCAGAGGACCACCCTTCCCTCATAGAATTGATCTCTCCAACTCACTGAATCACAACTATCTTTTATGTGTACATCTCTCTTACTGGATTGAGAATTCACCAAGGGTATGGATGTTGCTGATTTATCTTTGTACACTATGCTCCTAGCACAGGGCCTGTGGTGGAACAGGGGCTCTGTAACTCTTGTTAAGAGTTTTCAGAGCTATTCAATGTAAGATGCTGCTTGAAGTGGTTAACTCTCTGATCCTGGAAATGTCCCAACAGGCTGGATGAAGTCCCTTTTAGGTTACTCCAGTGGGTTTTCCAGTTTATTCAACTGTCCCCATGATTCTTTGAGTCTGTGGTCTGGTGACCTATGTAACACTCCAAAATGTTCATTTTCATTCTCCATTCCTATTTGTGTGGTTCTGTTACAGGCACCTCTCATAGACACCAGAGAGGTGTTATCAGACAGCCCTCTGAGTCAGAGGGAAAGGGCTGTCCCCACCACGATTCTTGTTTTCTTGTACAAATGAATTTAAATGAGAGACCCTGATTGCACCGTGTTAAAGTGAATTTATTTATTTAAAAAGTAGAGCATGTGCATTTATTAAAGAAGTAAGGCAAACAAATCTATACATCTGGCTTGTGTAGTGCAGTTGGGCTCTCAGTTAATCTGAAGAGCAAGTGCAGTGGGGGTGGGTTCTGCTGTATATAACCTTCTGTCTATAGGTTTTTTAAAAATTCCTCTGCGCTGAGGCCCTGAATATTAGACTGGCTGAAGACGTACGTGCCCTTAGCGGGAACTGAACCCCGGGCTCTCTGGACCACAGGCCGACGCTTTAACCGCTGAGTCAAACCGGCCAGTGTGGCTCAGTGGTTGAGCATCGACCCATGCACCAAGAGTTTGCCAGCTTTCAGAATTTATGACAAGTACCTGGCAATTAAATCCCGAGACTGATGGCTTTTCTGTTTAAACAGTGGGATGAGATAACACTGCACTCTTCTTTCCCCCTCCTTCTTGCTGTCTTAACAGCTTCAGGATGATTTGCACTATGTAGTCTCAGGTGAGTGAGAAGTTTAATTAGGTTTCCTCTTCCCCTTCCTTTTTCCCTACTCTCCTGCATTCCTCTGTGAGAAGGAGAGGTTTTAACACTTTGTTCTCAAGATAAGGTCCTGCTATAAGCAGCCAGCAAAGCTTTTTGGCTTTGTTTAATTTTCCTGTCTCAGTTTCCCTATTTCACATGTCCCAGAATTATCCTAGCTTTTCATTGTCCTACAACAGTTCTGAACTGTGGAGGGAGGCAGGCTGGAGGACTGTGCTTGCGTGCCTCCTCCCGCCCTGTGAGGCAGGTATCTAGGCTCCTGGTTTTAATGAAGAAGGGACTCCTAGAAGGAACAGCACCTCTTGGCTGATGTCCTGGGTCTCTGAGGTAATGTGGATCAGGCGGCACATCTTGTTAATTGCCTTATGATGTGAGGCAATTGCCTAAGAATCTGTGAGGGTCTAAAATGTTATCCTATTTGCAAATCAAAGAGGCAGTCTGAAACAGTTATACAGTACACATGTATACTAACATAGTCACAGACAGACTGTTTAATGACAATATCTTGCATCTCTTCCCCATGTCCAAATTCCTCATCAGATGACACGGGGGAAGCCAGTGTGCCAGTGTGTGCAGAGATTTATACAGCAGGAGGGGAATCTTAAAATTATGAAACTGAGTTGATGTAGGACAGCTGGCAAAGCTGTTCCTCCTTTCCAAGACAGAGAGAGAGAGAGAAAGAGAGAGAGAGAGAGAGAGAGGCAATGGCTCTGGGTTTTATTACTTTTGAAAGGGATCAGCTGGCTCATAGAAAATGCACTGGAGAGGAAACATTCTATATCTTCCTAGTTATGTTTACTATTCAAGCATCCTTTAAGGCAGGTACCAGTAATCTGCTCAATAAAAGGTGTGAGCCGGCAGGAGATCACATCCATAACACAAGGCCAATGTAGAGCAAAATAGCTTAATTGCATACACCTGGGTGCAGGCGTGCTGAGCCAAGAAGGGATCAGCTTCGAACCTTCTTGGTTCTCTGGCTTATACAGGCAGAAACTACAAAAAAAAAAAAACTACATAAAAAAACAAACCAACCCCACATTCTCTTGGCATCGCTTAATTGGTGCCTGGGCTGATACAGGCTGTCTCAGAGGTAAGGAAGGAATCTGCTTCAGCAGAGGTCAGGGCCATCATTTCTCTCTCTCTCTCTCTCTCTCTCTCTCTGGTCCCTCCAAGTTTTCCAAGGCCACCATTAATCCCCTATCTTTTTTTTTTTTTTATTCCATCCTTACCCAAGGACATTTCCCCATTTTTTATTCAGATAGAGTGGGAGGAAGAGAGAGAGCAGGAGCATCGAAGTGAGAGGCACATGGAGTGGCTGCCTCCCCCACGACCCAACCAGGGCCGGGGACTAACTGCAACCAACGTACATGCCCTTAGCGGGAACTGAACCCCGGGCTCTCTGGACCACAGGTCGACGCTTTAACCGCTGAGCCAAACCGGCCAGGACAACCCTTTATCTTTATATTTTCTCTGGGTTTCAGTCCCATGGTATTTTTTAGAAAACTGCTTGGGTGTTTAGAAAACTACGTGCAGGAATAACTGGTCAGAATGGAGTATAATTTTGTTAAAACATTATTAACCCTTTCACTCAGCCTGGATTGCACAGAAACTCCTTATTTCTTCCACACAACCCTAGACAGGCAACATTTCCCTGACACTTCGGCCCCTGAAATTCTTTACTTAGGCAGGCATGGTTTCTGGGAAGTTGATATAAAGAAAGTCTCAGTATAATGGATTTCCCATCCAGCACTGTGCCCAGCAAATAGCAACCAGCAAACATCTGTTTAGTGAATGACAAGGACCACTGTTTAATATTTTAATGAAGATGGGGCAGAGGAGTGGTTGGTTGAGACCTCCTGACGAAGCTCTTCCAGGGCCAGGGCAGTCTGAGCCAATCCATTCTTCTCTCCTGGGACTTAGACCAAGTTCCGGGCCCCTTGAAGCAGCACCAGAGTTCCTGACATCCCCGTAGCCAGGGTCGAAGTTGCACAGGCTGTGTTCACACCGGAGTTCCTCGAGTCTTCTTGGTCCAGAAAGGGATTCCCGTCCAGTGTCAGTTCACTCACCGTAGGCAGTTCATCTGGCCGCGGCTCCCTGCTCAGCCTGTTGCAGCTGAGATCAAGCATGCTGAGCTTGGCCGGCAGTCCTTCAGGCACCTGCTCCAAGCCGGCGGATGACAGGTTGAGAGAGCTCAATGCGCTCGGCCAGGTGCACCGGGGAGCGCCCGTGGCCGTGGGGCGCAGCGAGTTGTGGCTGAGGTCTAAGCGGCGTGGCTGCACACCCGCCGCAGTCAGCGCCGCGCACACGCCGCTGGGAGTCTCCATCCCCGCGTTGCGTAGCGCTAGCTCCTGGAGGGCCGGGAACTTGTTCCTACAGAGAACCGCCGCCAGCCCGTGCTCGCCCAGCCCAGGATTGTCAGACAGGTCTAGGGTAGCGAGGGAGTGGAAGGTGCGGAGGTCTGCGCAGGAAAAGGCGAGCGAGTGTGCTTGCGCAATGTTCAGTACTTTGAGGCCGGGCTTGAGCCACTGCTGCAGCTCGGCGAGCCAGGCACTCCCTGTCGCCCACGACACATTACGGAGACTGAGGGTGGAAAGCGCAGGTCCAGTGGCTTCCAGAGGCGGCATCGGCATGGTGCCGGTTACTTCCAAGTTCTCGAGCGTGAGTTGGTTGAGGCGGGAGTACCCGAGCCCGCGTAGGAAGGCGACCAGGAGCAGAGCAGGCACCTGTGCAGCACCCACAGTGAGTCGCCGCAAACGCAGAGCCTTGACCACGTCAATATACCGCTTCGGGTCGGTGTCGGCGAACTTTATAAATTGTTTCAGGCTGCGGCCACCACCGTGGATCTCCACCTCAACGGCACTCACACACTGAAAGGCACTGGACCAGTCGGGCTCCGTATCCGTGAAGTTGCAGACGCAGCGGATATCCTCGTCGTCCAGCTCGCAGGGGTCTGGTGTGGTCGCAGAGACATTAAGTAGTGGCAGCAGCAGCAGCAGCAGCAGGAAAGGCGCAAGAACCTGGAAAGAGAACGGAGGTCAGGGCGGCCCCAGCCGGACCCTGGGATTCTTCGAGTAGCCCCCATTCGGCCACAAGACCGTATACTCACCATGGTCGATAGGTCCTCGGAGCCTCTGCGAGCCCGGCAGGGTCTGGGAAGGGCTTCGGCTTCTTTCCTATATAGTGGCACTTACCGGCGTCCAGGCTCCACACACGCTTTGGCAGCCTCTGAGAGTTTACGCAACCCCAGGAATGTCACTCTGTTCCCTCTTCTGTGAACCCTGGTCACTCCCCACCTCTCTTAACCCTCTATTTATTACCCTTCTGGAAAATTTTGCAATGAAGTCTGTTGCTGCGAGGAGGGGCATAACGGGAAGGATCCGGCCAAACTTCTAGTGTGCTCTACCCTGGGCAGTATCTTGATGACTCAATAGCCCCAGGCTTGTCTGGTGGGTATGGAGAAAGGAAGCTCCTCTATGCCTCCTACCAGGACACTGCCCCCACCCCCCAAATCCCAGAGACTGAACCTAGGTAGTTTCCTTGACTTTTCACTAGTTTTGGTGGTTACTGTTAACCTATCATCCAAGTCCTAGAGATGGCAAAGTTCATCTATTGACTCGAAGGGCTGGACTTAAGTTCAAGAGAAGGAAGTTGATCTGAAGAACAACTCCCTTTCCCTTTTTAAATTATTTATTTATTTATTTTATTTTTGCTGACTTGTTCTTCGTCCAACTTTGTTGAATAAGAAAGTTATAGCTTTCCAGCCATGGCCCCTGTCTGGGTAGTTCAGTTGGATAGAGTGCTCTCTAGATAGGCCAAGGTTTTGGAGGATGGTCCTGGCACATACAAGAATCAACCAATGGTCCGGCTGGTGTGGCTCAGTGGTTAAGCATCGACCCATGCACCAAGAGGTCGCTGGTTCGATTCCTGGTCAGGACACATGCCCAGGTTGTGGGCCCCATCCCCAGTGTGGGGCATGCAGGAGGCAGCCAATTGATGTTCTCTCTCATCGATGTTTCTATCTCTCACCTCGTTCCCCTTCCTCTCTCAAATCTATAAAGGAAAAAGAAAAAAAAAAGTCAACCAATGAATGCATAAATAAGTGGAACAACAAACCATTGTTTCTCCCTCTCTCAAATCAATTTTTTTTATGGAAAGTAATAGATTTCTTTTTAAAATATTTCTTCTTTATTGATTTTTTAGAGAGAGAGGAAGGAAGAGGGAAAGAGAGAAAAACATCGATGACAAAGAACAATGAGAGAGAACATCAATTGGCCGCCTCCTGCATGTACCCCACTGAGGATCGGGCCCACAACCTGGGCATGTGCCTTGACTGGAAATTGAACTGGCAACCTTTTGGTGCATGGGTCGCTGCTCAACCGCTCAACCGGTGAGCCACACCAGCCTTGCATAATAGCTTCTTAAGTAAAGGTATTCAACAGCCACTTGCTCTCTTACACTTTTTTATTTCCCCATCCTGAAATTGAAAAACTAGATATTTATAACACAATTTTCCCACTTGTACCTAGTTCTCCTCTACCCTCTCCCGACACAATTCCTGTGTCCTAGGAAGGAAGGGCTGGAACTATGTTGAGTGAGAATTAACTAGTAACTCACTTGTTTTGACAAGAAAAAAAAGCAAATGTCCCAGAGGGTGGGGTAGGTTTATCCTTTACCAAGAGGAAAATTCTGAGATGTTCTAAATAAACAGTGACCAAAGAGTGAGAGAAAGACAGGAATAGTTAACCAATTAATAGCTGTGGACCATCTAAGAAAAGACTGCTCAGCCCTGGCCGGTTTGGCTCAGCGATTGGAGCGTTGACCTGCAGTCCAAAGAGACCGGGGTTCGGTTCCCGCTAAGGGCGCGTACCTCGGTTGCAGTTTGTCCCCGGACTTGGTTGGGTCATGTGGGTGGCAGCCACTCGATGTGTCCCTTTCACGTTGATGTTTCTCTCTCTTTCTCTCCTTCCCACTCTATCTGAACAAAAAAATGGGAAAATGTCCTCGGGTGAGGATAAAAAAAAAAAAAAGACCGCTCACATTCCTGAATGTCTGTTGGAGTTTTGAATGAACCTCCAGGCATCTATCTGACCACTAGACCACTACATCCTGCATACACATGAACATTCAGGACTGTTGTCTATAACTAAGCAAAAGTAGCAAATATTTTGCCCTGGCAGGGTGGCTCGGTTGGAGCATTGTCCCATATACCAAAAGGTTACTGGTTTGATTCCCGGTCAGGGTCAAGGCACATGCCTAGGTTGTGTGTGGGTTCAATCCCCAGTTGGGGCATGTGCGGGAGGCAACTTGATCTATGTTTCTCTCACACATTGATATTTCTCTTCCTCCTCCCCTTGACCTTCCCCTCTCTCTAAAAATCAATGAAAACATATCCTCAGGTGAGGATTTTTAAGAAAGTAATAAATATTTCTTCTTTAGAGACTGTATACCTATCATAGAGCTGTCTCCACTTTTTCTCACCTCCTTATATCTATAACCAATATAAATTCCTTTTTTATATTTTTTCATTGATTTTTTAGAGAGAGAGAAACATCGATGTGAGAGATACATTGACTGGCTGCCTCCTGAACGTCCCCAACCGGGGGTCAAGCCGGCAACCCGGACATGTGTCCTGCTGGGGAATCAAACCTGGATCTCTCAGTCCATGGCATGAGGCTCTTTTTTAAAAAATCCTCACCCAAGGAGATGATTTTTCCATTGATTTGCAGAGAACGTGGAAGGGAGAGGGGAGAGAGAGAGAGCACGCATGAGAAACCTTGATATAAAAAAGACACATAGACTGTTGCCTCCTGCACACACCCCGACCAAAGCTCTAACCACTAAACGCAACACCAGCCAGGGCTCAATGTAAATTCTTTTATTTAAAAAAATTTTTTTTCTTTATTGATTTTAGAGAGAGGAAGGAAGAGGGAGAGAGAGAGATAGCAACATCGATGAGAGAGAACATCGATTGGCCACCTCCTACATGCCCCCCACTGGGGATCAGGCCCACAACCTGGGCATGTGCCCTGACCAGGAATCGGACTGGCAACCTCTTAGTGCATGGGTTGGTGCTCAACCACTGAGCCACACCAGCCAGGCTGTAAATTCTTCTTCTTTTTTTTTTTTTATCCTCACCCGAGGACATTTTCCCATTTTGCTCAGACAGAGTGGGAGGGAACAAGAGGAAGAGAGAAACAGAGAGAGAAACAGTGACATGAAAGGGACACATCGAGTGGCTGCCTCCCACACAACCCCAACCTGTGCCAGAGACGAACTACAACAGAGGTCCGTGCCCTTAGCGGGAACCGAACCCGGGGCTCTCTGGACTGCGGGGCGACGCTCTAACTGCTTAGCCAAACCGGCCAAGGCCCTTTTTAAACAACTTAGTCTTTATTCCCCAATACATAATGTATAAAAGAGCCTGTCAACTCCAGGATGGTGGACATGGTGCCTTCTCCGCCTAGTCATGCTGCTGGTGGTTTAGACTTCATGCCCCAGGACCTGGTCCTATTCTGACTAGCAAATGACTCAAAAAACCCTTTATTTTAAAAAAGCTTTCAGCCGTGGAAGTTTTTTTGTTAAGATCCTTTTACAATGGCCCTCACAGGTCTGTACCTCTGGATTTCTGAGAAAAGAGCTTACATGAAAAATGTTTCAATGCCTCTATTTTCCAGATGTAGCTTCTCATCTATCCCCAGCCCAAACAAGGATGCCTCATTTTCCCCTGTGTGTCCTGTTGGAAATACCCTGATACCCTGAGCCATGCCCAAGGCCAGGCCAGGTTGTAGTAGGCAGTTAGACAGACTTGAACAGAGCAAGGATGATGGACCAGGTACAGAAGGTCACCAGGCAGGAAGCCCGGGTGCCTAGCAATGGACAACTGTAGGGTGGGACCTCATCCCTATGGTGACCTTTCCTCCCTTAATGTATCGATGGCCATATGGTTGGGCCTCCTAACCTTTCCTCCTTAGAGATAACATCTAGGCCTCAGTTGTATTTTAGCTCCAAGCCCAGAAAAGCAGCAAAACTAAATAAGCAACACCAAGGCTAACCTCAGGACCAGCTGCATTGGATAATGACCCCCTGTCCTGCGCTGACCAATCAATCAGTGAAGACCTAGACCCTGAAAGAACATACCTGGAAAACTGCTGAATATTCTATTGAGATCTTCCTCTGGGACTGCCCCTAAACTATCCACCCTTAAAACCCTTAGGACCATGGACCCAGTGTGTTCTCCTTCTAGGAAGCACACCTGCACCTTACTCTTCCCACTTTCCTCCCCATCCTCACAAGCCTATCACCTTTACCTTCCTCACTTCTAAGCTATAAGGACCCTTCTTTTACCTCTATAACTTGTTTCCTAAGCCCATTTCTTCTACAAATGACTTCTTCTGCCTCTGATTTTCCACACGAATGTTCTCTCACAGTTTGAGTCTTGGCTCTGAATTCTTTCTTAGCTAGACTCAAGTACTGACATTGCTGAACCCAGGTCCAATCTGATCCCACCTAACACCTGGTGCCACTCTGCTGCCCCCTAATGGTCACTGGGACATCTCTGAGGATCCAGATGTTAATATAGCTCGGCGTTAAATACACTGACCCTGCAGTCAGACAGCCGGGCATGGAATCCTAGATCTACCACTGAGGTTGTCAGACTTGGACAAGTTTCTGGGTCTCAGATTTCTGAGCTTCTGCTTTTATTTGTTTGTTTATTGTTAATCCTCACCTGAGGATATTTTTTTCTGTTGATTTTTAGAGAGAATGGGAGTGGGGAGAGAAAGAGAAAGAAACATCAATGTGAGAAAGATACATCAATTGGTTTCCTCCATCATGCACCCCAACTGGGGCAGGGGATTGGACCTGCAACCCAGGTATGTGCCCTTGACTGGGAATTGAGCCCACAACCCTTCAGTGTGGGGGATGATGCTCTAACCACGGAGAACACCAGCCAGGGCCTGAGCTTCTGCTTTTAAAAGGGACATAATGATAGTACCTGTCTATGAATAATAATTCTTTGGCACAGAGCAACAGCTATTGACAGCAGCCCTGACAACTTTCTTGCCAGAGCCCCTGCATTCAGAAAACTCAGGCCACCGAAGTCTGGCTCTTCAGCAAATTCCATCACCTTAGTGGAGGATGAGGGGTCCAAGATAAGAGGGAGAATAAGTTTTTGCAAAGAGTCCCCAACTCATACCTTAATTCAAGAATATCTATCATTTGTCTACCAAGTGCTAGGATTGGTGCAAAACTCTGGGATGCTGACATAACCATCCCTTAGTCTCTCAAGTACTCCAGTAAGTGAGAAGGTGAAAACTGATCCAGAACTACAGTCCATAATGAAGAAGACACTTACAGAGGACTTGTGGTAGCTCTGGAGAAAGGAGCAGCTAGCCCTTAGTAGCTGTTTCTTTTTTCTTTCTTTCTTTTTTTTGTCCTCACCCAAGGACCTTTTTCCATTTTTTGTTCAGATAGAGTGGTAGGTGGGGAGAGAGAGAGAGAGAAACATCGATGTGAAAGGGACACATCGAGTGATTGCCACCCGCATGACCCAACCAGGGCCGGGGACAAACTGCAACTGAGGTAAGTGCCCTTAGTGGGAACCAAACCTAGGTCTCTCTGGACCACAGGCTGACTCTCTAACCACTGAGCCAAGCCAGCCAGGGCGGCAGCTGCTTCTTATAGGGTTAACAGTGTTGCCAGGCAGGTAAGGGTAAAAAGGCAGTTTGGGCACCTGTAACTGTCTGAGCAGACACTCTGGGCAGAACATTGCTTTTTCCTGGGGCCTTATCATTCCTTCCCCACCAGGAGAAATATGTGGGTATAGAAATCAGCCTGTCCATGAGGAAAGAAACAAGACCCAGGGCTTATCCCCAGCCAGAGCATGGTACACAGTAGGTGCTCAATAAATGGCTGTCTGGGGGCTGGATGGATGTTGGGCCTGGAGAGAATGTGTAGTAGACAGGAAGATGGTCTACAGTTACTTACATATGTAGATGTTTTGTGAATGAGATAGAAGACTTCACTGATGGACTTAAAGAGGTGGAATTAAATTCAAGGAAGAAAATTGGTTTGAAGAACAATACCCTTTCTTGGATTTTTTCTTATTTGTGTATTTGCCTAAATAATAGCTTTCTGAAAATTAGAGGCCTCCAGTGAAACTTTTTCCCCCTAATGAAACTTCTTAAGTGCTACTAGGATTCTACTCTCTTGGAGCTGTGAAGGGGGGTTGGAAGAAGACAATATCAATTACATTGTAACTTAATGACAGCTGTGAAAGGGTTGTGAAGAAGTATATGGTGCTATACACTATCATAATAGGTGCGACTGGTTCAGTAGAACTGAGTAGGGGACATTAGAGTTGAGGATGGTGTTAATTAAGGGAAGGGTTCTGGTTGGGATGGGATTGGGGTGGGCAGCAAAGGAGAGAGCTCTAGGTAAAGGAATAGCCTCTGCAAAAGCCTGAAGGAGGAAGAGAGCAGGGCTTGTTTAGTGAACAAAGAGAAGATCCAGGAGAGGTGAGTAAAGTGAGGTGCCCTTCCAGCGGGAAATATATGCAGGGATGAGACTATGTAGGGCTTAATTGGCCACAGTTTGGATTTTGAGGGTAAGGAAGACCTTTTTAAATTCATCAGTGTTTCCCCAGTACCTAGTAAATTAGTGGCGCTCAAAAGTTGGTGAATTACTTTATTCTAAAGATAATACGACTCACTTCTATGCAGAACAGTGAAATAATATTTGTCTCATTTTCCTCACCTATAGAATGGGGATAATTGTTATTGTGAACATTCAATATGGCAACGCATGGCCCACTCATCAGTGGGAAGGGTGCTGGTTGGGGTGGGTGGTGTAGGGGGCGTGCAGATAACATTTCATCAATAATACAATGAGTTATTGGTCCATGATGAAAGAGATGAGTTATTGGTAAAATGGTATCCCATATCTTCCTAGAGCTCGGGCTAGTTTTGAATGTTCCGCTAGGGCAGTGGTTCTCAACCTTCCTAATGCCACGACCCTTTAATACAGTTCCTCATGTTGTAGTGACCCCCAACCATAAAATTATTTTTGTTACTACTTCATATCTGTAATTTTGCTACTGTTATGAATTGCCATTGGAAATATGTGTTTTACAATGGTCTTAGGCGACCCCTGTGAAAGGGTCGTTCAACCCCCAAAGGGGTCGCAACCCACAGGTTGAGAACCACTGCTGTAGGGTGTGTTAGGAGTGGGGAGGTTGTTTGTTGAGTGGAAGGTGATGCTATTGGCCGGGTCGAGATTAAGTTACTTTCTTTCCTACAGTACTACCCTTCTTTTCTTTCTAGAATTGGGAAGAAGAGAAATCAAGGCTGCGGCACCTTCTCTTGGCTTTCAGTCCAGATCCCACCCCTCTGCCTTCGCCCCGCCCCTCCCCTCCCACTCCCCCTTCGCCCCGCCCCCTCCTTCACTCCGCCTCAGACCCCGGCCCGGCCCCTCCCTCCGCCCTGCCTTCACTTCGCGCGGAGCCCCGCCTGCTTCACCTCCCCTTCCGCCTGGCGCTGCGGCTGCGCGGTTCCTGCCATCTTCTGTGGATTGGGACTGATCACAGCTGTCGGTTCAGTGCGAAGTCTCCAGCTCCACCATGTGGAACCGACGGCATGGTCGTCTCAGGACTGTGGGATGCGGGATGGAAGAACTACGGCGCCGCCGTCGGGAGCGGGAAGCAGGTTTGGGTGGGCGAGGGAACATGGGAGGATGGGGTATGGCAGTGGGAGGCCTCTGTGTAGGAGACGGGGTTCGGGTCCTGGGCTCCTCTTTTGCCCCCAGCCGGCTTCTTTGTCCCCAGAACTGCGGAAGGCACGGAGGGAGCAGCAGCTGGTCAGCAAGAGGCTGCTGAGAGACGACACCCCAGAGGAGGCCGAAGGGGGATGTGTGGCTTTGATCCTCGGGGAAGCCGAGGTGAGGAGGCAGGGTGGGCGGTGCGGGCCGTGCTGGCCAGCGCCAAATTCCTTCCTCCAATATTGGAGGACCGTCCCCAAACCTGAACGCGGTCCCTTCAAAACCTCCAGTGGGCCAGGCCAGAAACTGGGGTATCACCCTCCACCCCATCCCGACCTTTATCCCCACATCAATAGTTTTAAGTCCTAGCCGGTTTTTACCACCTCGCAAGTCTTGATGTGCCTCGCCATCAAGGTCCCACTACCCTCCAATGGATACTTACATTACTGAAAACTCAGATGCCTATACAGTGTTTGGCATATAGTAGATGCTCAGTATTTGTTGAATAAGTGAATGAAAAAAAATTGGTTTTAATTCATTTATTCATTCAGCAAGCATTGGGCATCACCTGTTTGTTACATAGTTTACAAAGCACTCACACTTGGGTTATACCATTTATTCATTGTGTACTTTATGCCAGGAAACTGCTGGGTACTGAGGTACACAAGAGGAAAAGAGTCCCTTTCTTTGAAGTGTTCACAGCCCATGAAGGAGACAAATGTGCTACCACCACCTGTCATGAAGGAATCATGAGGCACAATAGAAACCCCTACGTCTGCCACAGAAGTCAGAACGAGCTAATTTCCCAAAGGCAGTGACAGGAGCAGAAATCTGAAGGGAGTGGAGGAACTGGAGAGGGTATGCCAGACAGAAGAAATAGATTGTGCAAAATCTTGGCAGCATTAAAAAGTCATGTTATGCTAGGAAGTGTTAGAGAACAGGCTGCATGGGGAGAATGACTAGAGGGGTAGGTTATGCCAGGCTGAGAGGTTTAAATATTATCCTTGCAATAACCCTATAAGAAAGCAGGATAGATGTTATTCACTTTTATTTTTCAGGTGGGAAACTGATATTTAGGTCCTTTTAGACTGTTGGTATTAAGTTGTTCTGATTTCCTCTTCTGTCCACTCTACTGCAGTGTTGGCACGTATTAGCCTATTAGTGTGAATGACAAGTTCTAGGGATGGTGCAGTATTGGAGGGCTCACAGGTGAAGTAGGCAGAGCAGGGTTCAAAATTTGCTTTCTGGCAACTGTGTGTTGCCATCTTTCTCCCTGTCCTGGGCTCCAGATCCAGCAGTTCCTGTGGTTAGCCCAGCGGGGGACAGGGGAAAAGGAGAGAGAGGGAGCTTTGGTCAGTCTTCGTCGAGGCTTGCAGCACCCAGAGACACAGCAGACCTTCATCAGGTCAGTGTGGTTGGTGTGACTGGGTGGCTAGGGTCTTGAGGGATGGATAGGAGTGTGGAGGGGAGGGGCCACAGGCTGAGCAGGGCTCTGGTACTCATTCATGTAGGCTGAAGGGCAGTATGCGGACCCTGGTCGGGCTCCTGACCAGCAACCAGGCTCTGCTGCAGCTTGAGGCGGCTCGGTGCCTTCATGAGCTCTCTCATTCTGAGCAGTCTGCAGTGGCTGAGGCCTGCCTGCCAGCCACTTCCTACCTTCTCACCTACCTCGCCGGTCACAGCTCAGATCTTATAGTAAGCCCTGTCACTTCCTACCTTGTTTTTGGCTTTTGGCTGGCAGGTAGGGAGAAGAAAACCTGTTTCCCCTGATGCCCACAGCCATACATACACCCATCATCTTCCATCCTCTTGTGCCCAGGGTCTCAAGGACAGGGCTGCACTGTCCTTCCCATGCCCACCCCCACCCCAGCCTGACATAGGCTAAACCCAGTGCTTTTGTTCTGCTCTCAGGAGCTCTGTCTGTATACACTGGGTAACCTGATTGTGGAGAGTGAATCTGTGAGAAGGCAGCTCCTGCCACAGGGCATTGTTCCAGCCTTGGCTTCCTGCATCCAGGTGAGTGTCCACCTTGTCTTCCCTGGACAACCCTTCCCTCACTTCTTTCCACATGCCCCAGCTGCTTTGGTTAGGCAGTTCCAGCCTCTGCCCTATGCTAAAGGGGTTGAAAGTCTCAGGAAATCTTCGGGCCTACTTTCCAGATTCAGATCCCTACCCTGTCCACTTCTAGTCCCCCCATCTGACTGTGCTGGAAGCCCTTGGCTATGCCTTGTCCCAGCTCCTGCAGGCTAAGGAAGCTCCAAAGAAGATCATCCCGTAAGTAAAATTATGTCTCCAGATGTGCGGTCAGGTGAGCCATTTGGCAGTGTAGCCTCTGGATACCTGATCAAGTCTGGTTCCAAAGCTGTTGTATGTTTAACTCCACGTGTCTAGCTGGGAAGTCCTTTGGGTTTGGACGCTTTCCCACTTGCTATTAGGGTTTGGGAAGAGTTACAGGCATCTTGCCTGCTGTGGTTCCTACTCACAGCTCTGCTTCTGCCTGCAGTTCTGTCCTGAGCACCCCTCTTCCCCAGCACATGCTTCGACTATTGCAACCTGGTCCAAAGCTGAACCCTGGGGTCGCTGTGGAGTTTGCCTGGTGCCTTCACTACATCATCTGCAGGTAACACAGACCAGTTGGGAAAGTGCCACAGACCTCCCCTGGGGTTCCCTTCATGACACTCGGGTTTTTGAACTTTGGTTTCTGGAACTGTTGTGAGTTTTCTTCCTTTCATGTTTTCTCTTGGAACCCAGAGAACCCACAAACCTAGGCTGTTTGCAAGCTTAAAGGTAGAAGTGGCTGAGTAGTAACTACTTGCTTCCTGTTGCCCAGCCAGGTCAACAATGCCCTGCTCATCACCCATGGGGCTGTGTCCACTCTGGGGCTGCTACTGTTGTACTTGGCTGGGGCTGTCCAGAGATCCGAGGATGCAGGACTGGAGCTGGTAGGTGAAGAGGACAGGGCAAGATCTGCACACCTTTCTTCCTACTTTGTTCCTCCTCTAGTATGCAGGTAGCCCCTTCCTCCTTACAGTTGACCCCCAACTTGTCTTTGCAGCTGCTGTGCCCTGTGCTTCGGTGTCTAAGCAACTTGCTAACAGAGGCAGCAGGAGGGCAAGTGCAGCTCAGAGATGAGCGTGTTGTGGTATCCTTATTTATCATTCTGCAGTTCCTCCTCCAGAAACAGCCCAGCCTGCTTCCTGAGGGCCTCTGGCTCCTTAACAACCTCACTGGTATGAACCATAATCTGCCTAGGTGTGGACCTTTAGATACTGGGAAAACTTCCTTGTGGCTTGGATTGAGGTGGTTTAGGATTGAGAGGGGGGGTTTTCAGGCCAGTTAGAAAGACTTACATTTTCCCTTCCAGCAAACAGTCCTGGCTTCTGTACCTCCTTGCTCTCCCTGGATCTGATCGAGCCTCTCTTGCAGTTGTTGCCAGTATCTAATGTGGTGAGCGTACTGGTAGGTATTGGATTCATCTGAGTCCAAGGTCTAGTGACTGAAGGGTAAACAGTGGGAGCTCATAAGTGCCCTCAGCTGAGAGCTGGCAAGTGGTGTGGTATGGATGGCCTAGAGTTATCTAGGTGTGAGTCCCTAAACTGGTTTACTAGTTACTAACATTGTGCAAGTGAACTAATCACCTAAGCTTCAGTTTCCCGATTCATAATTAGGAATAGTAATACTACCTGAAGGCAGTTGTGGGGATTACAGAACATGTTTTCAAAACTGCTTGGCACAGTGCCTGAGGCATGTGGTCAGCACTCTATATTTTTTGCTCATTGGTTTTCATCCTTTGTGGGGACTGTGTACATACATATCTGTTCACAGGTACTCACAGTTCTGTGCAACGTTGCAGAGAAGGGTCCTGCTTATTGCTGGCGTTTGTGGCCAGGGCCCCTACTCCCCTCTTTGCTGGACATGTTGGCCTTCTCTGACACTGAGGTAGTAGGCCAGAGTTTGGAGCTGCTGCAACTGCTCTTCCTCTATCGGCCAGAGGTTGGTTTCTGGTCCTGGTTCTCAATCCCCTTTGTTCTGAAGCCTCTAGTCTCACCATGGCCCCTTTCCTTCCAGTTCTAACTATAGCCACTTCTCTGGACCTGGCTAGTCTATGTGGGCTCCAGGTCAGAGCCCACATCCTCTTGTTGGGAATGTACCCTACCCCAAGAAGAGGTGGGTTAATCCATAAGGCTCTGAGAATTGAGTGTTAGGGCACAGAAACCCAGGTTTTGAATCATTTTCTTCCCTGCCTTTAGGCTGTCCAGGCCTTCCTGCAGCAATCAGGGCTGCAGGCCCTCAAAAGGCATGAGGAGGAAGCACAGCTCCAGGATCGAGTGCATGCTCTCCAGCAGACAGCTCTTCATAGGTGACCTGGCTTTTCAGTGTCACTTACTACCTCCCCCCACAGCTTCTCTGCCCATGGAGCCCCGTTTGGGTGTTTAGGACCATAATGAGGCCTCATGTTTTCTGATCCCACACCTAAAGCCTAAACCAAGACCTTTGGACTCCAGCTTACCCCCTTTCACTCAGCACAGTCCATACAGGACCAGAGGGAGGTGGGTGTGGTCTACTTACTCTGGACCCTGCAATCTCCCTCCTTTTTTTTTGTTTTGTTTTAGCTGATGTCTTTGGATGGGACAGAATAAAGTTTTATTTTTATATCAAACTGCTTTGCCTCAGTGGTTGTACAATAACGGGTAGAGGGATGAACTGGAGACAGCCCTGGCTGGCTTGGCTCAGCAGTTAAGAGTGTCGGCCTTGAACAGGGGTTGCGAACAGAGGGGTCGAGGGTTTAATCGCCGCCCAGGTTGGGGCCCTGTGGGAGGCAACCAATTGATGTGTCTCTCTCATATTGATGTTTGTTTGTTTCTTTCTTTCTCCCTCCCTCCCTTCCACTCCATCTAAATATCAATGGAAAAATATTAGGTGAGGATTAACGCACCCCCAAAAAAGAGAATATTCTGAGACAGTATTTTACAGCACAAGCTTTATAAAGAACAGAACACATCTTTCCACATTGTACTCAGACCAGCAGAGCCCATGCTGTGGGGCTGTTGCTCTTAATCCTCAGTGAAGGTTTCAGGCTTTGCCACTTAGCACATTCTCTAGGGCTCTGGTTACCTGATCAGCACTGAAGTTGTTCAAAGAGACATTCTTCTCTTGGCCAAATGCTGGAGAGAAAGGGAGGTGACTAATTATACACTCTGCACTGTGGGGGCTAGCAAAATATAACAACAGGTCTTTGTCATCAACTTATAGCACACCCAGTGGACAGCTTTAGACCACATTGAAGAACCACCACCCAACCACCTCCACAAGTGACACACTCAATGAGTGGACTCAGTGGGTACCAGAACCCTGCTGAAGTCTTGCTGTGTGGTGGGCCCTGACACAGCTGATCCTTCAAGGTAGTATGGGCCAGTGGTCAGTGGGCACAGCCAGTCTTTGCAGCTTTTCAGCCTGAGTAAATCCCTCCCATTGATGTGCCAACAGCAATAAAGACTCAATTACAGCCCTGGCCAGTTTGGCTCAGCGGTTAGAGCGTCGGCCTGCAGTCTGGAGGGACCGGGGTTTGGTTCCCGTAAGGGCATGTACCTCGGTTGCAGTTTGTCCCCGGCCCTGGTTGGGTCGTGTGGGTGGTGACCACTCGATGTGTCCCTTTCACATCGATGTTTCTTTCTCTCTCTCCCTCCCACTCTATCTGAACAAAAAAAAAAAGTCCTCGGGTGAGGATAAAAAAGAAAAAAAGAATTACACCAAAGGGGTGTACAGTCCACACTAGGGGTGCATCTCAAGGCCCCAACTGGGGTGATCAAGGAGGCTGTGCCACTGGATCCTACAGGACACCTACAACAATAGGCCATCCTACAAAGCCTAGGAGACATAGCAACTCTACCTATACATAGAAACAAACACAGGGAAGCAGCCAAAATGAGACAAACATATCCCAAATGAAAACAAACAAAACTCCAGGAAAAGAACTAAATAAAATGGAGATAAGCAATCAATCAGATGCAGAGTTCAAAACACTAGTTATAAGGATGCCCAAGGAGCCCGACTGCTGTGGCTCAGTTGCTGAGCATCAACCCATGCACCAAGCGGTCACCAGTTCAATTCCCGGTCAGGGTACATGCCCAGGTTGTGGGCCAAACCCCAGTGGGGGGCATGCAGGAGGCAGCCAATCAATGTTTTCTCTCATTGATGTTTCTCTCTCTTTCCCTTCCTCTCTCTAAAAAATCATTAAGAAAAAAAAAATTGCCCTGGCCAGTTTGGCGCAGCGGTTAGAGCATCGGCTCCCAGACCAGAGAGTTCCAGGTTCAGTTCCTGCTAAGGGCGCATAGCTCGGTTGCAGTTTGTCCCTGGCCCCGGTTGGGGTCGTATGGGTGGCAACCACTCAATGTGTCTCTCTCATATTGATGTTTCTCTCTCTCTCTTTTCCTCTCTCCCTCCTGCTCTATTTGAAGATAAATGCAAAAATGTCCTTGGATGAGGATTAAAAATAAAATAATTAATTAAAAATAAAAAAAGGATGCTCAAGGAACTTAGTGAGAACTTCAAAGAACTTAAGGAGAACTCCAAGGAACTTAGAACATCAACAACATAAAAAAGGACCAGTCAGAAATGAAGGATGCACTAACAGAAATAAAGAATAATTTACAGAGAATCAATAGTAGAGTAGATAAAGCCAAGAAGCAAACCATCAATTTGAAATGTAAGGAAGCAGAAAACACCCAACCAGAACAGCAAAAGGAAAAAAAGAATCCAAAAAAAAATGAGGACAGTATAAGGAGCCTGTGAGACAACTTCAAGGGTACCAACATTCGCATCATGGGGGTGTCAGAAGAAGAGAGAGAGCAAGAAATTGAAAACCTATTTGAAAAAATGATAGAAAACTTCCCCACCTTGGTGAAGGAAACAGACATACATGTCCTGGAAGCACAGAGAGTCCTAAACAAGATGAGCCCAAAGAGGTCCATACCAAGACATATCATCATCAAAATGCCAATGGTTAAAGACAAAGAGAGAATTTTTTTTTTTTTATCCTCACCCAAGGACATTTTTCCATTTTTTGTTCAGGTAGAGTGGGAGGGAGAGAGAGGAACAGAGACAGAGAGAGAGAAACATCGATGTGAAAGGAACATATCGAGTGGCTGCCACCCGCACGACTGACCAGAGCCAGGGACAAACTGCAACCAAGGTACATGCCCTTAGCGGGAACCGAACCCGGATCTCTCAGGACCGCAGGCCGACACTTTAACCGCTGAGCCAAACCGGCCAGGGCCAAAGAGAGAATCTTAAAAGCAGCAAGGGAAAAGCAGTTCATTACCTACAAGGGAGTTCCCATAAGACTGTCAGCTGATTTCTCAAAAGAAACTTTGCAGGCCAGAAAGGAGTGGCAAGAGATACTCAAGACGATCAAAAGCAAGGACCTACAACCAAGATTACTCTATCTTGCAAAGCTATCATTACAGTCGATGGACATATGAAGTATTTTCCAGACAAGAAAAATATAAAGGAGTTCATCACCACCAAAACAGTATTATATGAAATGATGAAGGGTCTTCTTGAAGGCAAAGAACAAAAATATAAATAAAATGGCAATAAATACTTATCTATCAACAACTGAATCTACAAACAAAATAAGCAAGCAGAACAGAAAGAGACTCATAGATAGAAGTTTTTGTTGGTTGCCAGATGGGAGGGGGATAGGAGGACTGTGTGAAAAAGATGAAGGGATTAAGAAGTGTAAATTGGCCCTAGTCTGTTTGGCTCAGAGGTTAGAGTGTCGGCCTGCAGTCCAGAGAGACCCAGGTTCGGTTCCCGCTAAGGGCATGTACCTCGGTTGCAGTTTGTCCCCGGCCCTGGTTGGGTCATGCAGAAGGCAGCCACTCGATGTGTCCCTTTCACGTAGATGTTTCTCTTTCTCCCTCCCACTCTATCCGAACAAAAAATGGAAAAAGGTCCTCAGGTGAGGATAAAAAAAGTACAAATTGGTTGTAGACTAAAGAACCTCAAAGGGGCCCTGGCCGGTTTGGCTCAGCGGTTAGATCATTGGCCTGTGGTCTGGAGAGACCCGGGTTCGGTTCCCGCTAAGGGCATGTACCTCGGTTGCAGTTTGTCCCCAGCCCTGGTTGGGTTGTGTGGGTGGCAGCCACTCGATGTGTCCCTTTCACATCGATGTTTCTCTCTCTCTCTCTTCCTCCCACTCTATCTCAACAAAATGTTGAAAAATGTCCTCTGGTGAGGATTAAGAACCTCAAAGGGAGGGGAGGGGAGGGGAGGGGAGGGGAGGGGAGGGGGGAGGGGAGGGGAGGGGGAGGGGAGGGGAGGGGAGGGGAGGGGAGGGAGGGGGGAGGGGAGGGGGGAGGGGAGGGGGGAGGGAGGGGGGAGGGGGGAGGGGAGGGGGAGGGGAGGGGAGGGGAGAACTTATATGCATAAGCTGCAGACACAGACAATAGTGTGGGGAAGGCAGAGTGGGGGGCAGGAGTGGGCAGAAGGGGGTCAAGGTGGGAAAAGGAGAAACGTAACAAAAATAAACATTAAAAAAATAATAAAATGGCAATTAATATATATCTATCAATAATTGAATCTACAAACAAAATGAGCAAGCAGAACAGAAACAGTTTGAGAGAGAGAACTTTTTGTTGCTTGCCAGATGGAAGGGGGCTGGGGGGGATGGGTGAAAAAGATGAAGGAATTAAGAGGTACAAATTGGCTGTTAGACTGATGAATCTCAAAGGGAAAGGAGGAAGGAGGGTGGGATGAGATAAACCAAAGATCTTCTATGCATATATGCATAATCAATGGACACAGACAATAGTGTGGGGAAGGACTGGGAAGGAGGGGGGGGGTCAAAATGGGGGGGGGGAAGAGGGACATTCAACAATAAAGAAAAGGTTTAAAAAAAAGAAATAAGGGGATTTGCAGAGGCATGGATGCTTGAGACAGATGACAGCTGTCAGGGGGAGGGGGTCAGGAGACTGAGTGAAGAAAGGTAAAAGGATTCACTCAAGAACATATATGCATAGCCCATGGACACAGACAACAGTGTAAGGGGGGAGGTGCTGGGTGGAGGTGGGCAAAGGGGAGGGGAGAATGGGGGACATCTGCAATAGTGATGATAATAAAAAAACTTAAATAAAAATAATAATAAAGGGGGAAAAGACATCTAGGAAGCTCAGGTCCAACTAGAAGTTTGGCTGATTGTGGGTAGCCACAATGGTAAGGAAGGTGTTTCAGGGAAGTGTTAAGTAGGCATTTATTAACCAAGTGAGAAATGCACTACATGGACCGAACTCTGGCTGAGTACCCATTCTGTGGTTCCCATAGTCCATCTAGTATAATACACTCTAGCTATTTGAATCCCTCTCCTCTAGTCTACTGGTTTTTGGAAAGAGAACCTTTTTCCTTCAGTTTTTAGTACATGGCTACTACAGATGTCCACTGTTAGAACCAATCTGCCTTAGGTGTGACTCCTCCCTTTCTCCAGACATTCCGAGGGCAAGGTATTAAGAACCATGACTAAAATTCCACTATTTAGTATGTAGAAACATTTTATTACATGCTTATTATGTGCTAGGCAACATGAAAGTAATTTTCAGCCCTGGCCGGTTTGGCTGAGCAGACCAATGA